TGCGTGTGTCAAAGAGTTCAAGTTCGATTGTTCACGAAAATTCCACGATCGACAAAAGACAAAAGTCTGCTGGAATGTAGTTTTTTTTTTTTTTTGCGACGTCAATAGAAATGCGGGAGACAGAGATGTCAGAAATCAATGTCGGTTTGACGCGTGTGTGTAAAAGTGGATATATATGTATAAAAAAAAGAGAAAAAAAAACAGTCGTAAAAAAGGACATATCTAACGAAGCGACGAATTCTTGTGAACAAAAGACCGTGAGATTTCTCATCCGTGTGTGTGTATGTGTGTGTGTGTGTGTGTGTGTGTGTGTGTCTGTCTCGTTTTTAGATCCGTTAAGAGAGTAAAGTAAAAAAAACCCTCTCCACGTCTCTCTCTATCTCTCATACTCTAACGCGCTCGGAAAGCATCTCCTCATATAGAATATATCACATATACACGTTTTACTTCTAAACACACTGAAATAAGAAGCACTTTAAGATAGATGTCTACTTTACACCACCCGGGCCCAGGTTCAGATGGACTGATTTTGTTCTCTTTTTTTTTTTTTTACGTTTTCGTTCTCATTCCTCTCATCATCTTCACGATCCCTAATTGATCTAATATGCTTTGTATATATGTTGTATGTACATGTAAGCGCTGGCCTCTCACTTGTTTATTTTTTTTTTTTTGTTTTTTTGTTTTTTTAATATTCTCAGTTCTCGTTTTCTTCACGTTTCTTTATTACGTATATGTGCAGGTGATGAGAACGCGCATCTCCGAAGTATACACGGAACTAGATAAACCAGCTTTTGCGTATGAAAAAAAAAAAAAAAAAAGAAACAAACTAGAAATTAGCGTCGCTTTTTAGACGAGAGTGCGTCTCTAACACATCTTCGAATTAGCGGCAACGTAATCTGCGTCGGGGTTGGTTGCTACTCGGGATGCATCGATCGACACATCCTTATGAAAATCACGCAATATAGCAATCTCCACGATTTTATGCATGTGATGCCACTTTTTGTTGTGTATACGATAATAAAATATCATTCGGATAAAACAGACATTTTATCAAAAAACGTCGAAAAAACATTAAAATATTGTAAATTACAGTAAAAAACGGCAGACTTTCATTGACATTTTTTCAAAGATTGCTTTGTCACGTCCGAGCACTTCGAGTCTAATATTTCTCACGTAATGAAAAACAAAACACGGTGAAAGAAAATTTATACTACACGTATAAAAATAAACATATAATGTGATATTACAAAAATATAAATATATAGATAATAGAATAAGAAAAACAAAAAAATACAAAAAAATTTATATTTAAATTTATGTAAATTTAAAAAAATAATTTAAATTTAAAAAATTTAAAAATAATAAACTTAAAATAAAACATACTAAAATACAAAGGAAAGACGTTATTATGTACAATTAAAATTCGACATCATTTGGCTATTTGCAAAAAACATTCAATCAACAACGTTGATAAATCATTGTGGATCGTTATGGCTCGCATTGCTTACATTTTTTGCAATTTTTGCGCTAGACACATGTATGTTCGTATTTTTTGATGAGAAAAAAAAGAAAACAAAAAAGTGCAAAAAGTGCGAGCGACACGAACAAGATCCAATAATCGTCATTAATTTCGAGGCACGCAGCAGTGTTACGTGGTCTATAATGGCACTATCAATCACTCGTATATTAAATATTTATAACATTAGAAAAATTGCGTGTTTCTCGAGTTTGCGGATAGTCTCCTTTAATTGACTTTATGAAAAAAGCCTCGTCGGTTAGAGTACTATGTTGTGTGTTAGCTCTTTACAAATACACATCAATCTCGATACTAAATTGATCAATTAATAAAATAGTGGAGATTACGACATTTTGTTGCGATCTGTCGCGCAACATTCGCACTATTTTGTCAATCGAGCCTAATCATCAAAAGTTCGCCCGAACTCGAGTCATCGTTCGAGCATCGGTAATCGTAACATGTTTCTTGTTTTTTTATTTATTTATTTATTTTTTTTTTTTTTATTCTACGTGCTTATTCTTTTGCGAATTAGTGCTAAAGACCTACGATAACCAACAACCGCTATGCTAAAAATGTTCGCGCTCGTATCTTTCGTTTTTTTTCAACGAGCCTGAACGAGCGAGCTAATGTGATCAATGTCCGAAAAACATTTGCGAGATTGGAATGTTTTTTTTTTTTTTGTTTTTTTTTCCCTAGAAAGATTATGTGAGAAATGTTGTGTGATTACGACTCTCTATGATTGAATGAGTGAAAAACTCAAAAAGAGTATTCCGTGCACGGCCCCTCGATTCGATGTTGCTCGATGTTTCAACAATGGACGATCAACTTTGCAAGGCAAATTCACTCACTTAATCCGGGGACAGCATCAGAAAACTGACAAAGAAAACATGTCTTTTCCATTAAGTGGAAAAGTCATCTACGAAATTGCAATTTAAGTTTCGTAAACGGATTTTATATTTAAGATTGTCTTATTTTATATGTATGCCCTATATATTTATATATGCGCGCACACATATACTATAAATAAGACGGTCTTTTACGTCTCAAGAAACGATTATGAACATTGGTCCTTAGACCACTATTCATAGTTCGAATTTGATTCATCTTTAGATGATCTGTGGCCAATGGGACGGCCCGGAGCATCGTCGAAATGATTTTTAGACGAACTTAAATATAAAATCTGCGAATATCGGTCTTGGTTTGTTCTTTTGTCTATATGTGCTGCAAACCAAAAGATGTGCGCACAGAAAATCCGCTGTTTTTTAATCATTTTCTAGTTCTATCTGTGCTGTCCGAGTGGATTAGATTACACAAACAGATAAAATGTAGACTCGATCGACGCGAAACGTCCAACGTCCCAATCTTTCGTCACGACCAAAGCAACACCAGTATCGAAACGTAAGTCACCGCGCGGAAGAACAAAGATGTATAGAATCGAAGATTAAAAACAAAAAAAAAAAAAGAAAGAAAATTATATCGCGGCATTCATCGAAGTACTGCGAGATCTCTCTGGCCTGGATTTTTCTTTCGATTAATCGCTCTATACATTTTTTTTGGAACAACGCGCACTACAGAACGCTCTCCTTTACATCTCCTCGCGTCGTCGAGCAGAAAACAACGTACGACGACGATCGCGATAGTGACGGCGATGGCAATAATAATAACGACGACGATGACGACTATGATCGATAGATGTAACTGCAGGGTGGCGTTGGCGGCGGTGGCGGCTGCTGGCCGCTCATGGCGATCGGTACAAGGGTAGGTGAAGGTGACGAGGAGGGAGGGGACGGGGAACTCGATGACGCGCTCGACGACGGCGAGGGCGATTCCAGTGCCCTCGGACCGGCGAGCTCGCGATTCGACTGTCCCCCGGACGTCACAGCGCGACTACTCCTGCTGGTCGTTGTCGCGTTGTGACGATTGCGCGCTGGCCGTCCTAAGCTCCGGTGACGGCCACCTCCCTCCTCGCTCGTTTCTCAGAGATAAACCTTCTTTACACTGCGCGTAGTCGCAAAGCCGTCGTTGCGACGATACGCGTCGCCCTGGTGCGAGCGCAGGGTGCCGAAATTGTCTCCACGAGGACCCCCACGATAACCATAACCATCCGGGAACTGAAAGAGGGTCTCTGTAGGAGTGGGCGGTGGTTTTCTCATGGTGCCTTTTGGGGATTGGAGTTTTGGCGGTTGCGGTACCAATACCGGTTCCGCATAGGTCACCTCTTCCTGCGGCAGCAGCTTGGGCTCGGGTGCCAACCTGCTGAAGGTTGACAGACAGACATTACTAAAAGCGGTAAAAATGAAAAATCATTCCTTCGCCGAAACTGTCTCTTCGTCAAAGTGAAGTATCCCTTACCTGTTTACGTTTTGGCGTTGCTCGAAGTATTCGTATTCCGTGTCCGGATAGGGAAGATTGTCGTCCTCGTCTTTCTTGCACTTTCGGCCGCAAAAATAACCGGCTACAAAACCAACAAGCAACGCGGCCAACGCACCGGCTACCACGGCCATCACCAGAGTCTCCACGGGATACTGCGGCGGAGGTGTATCAGCAGCAAATACTTCCGGACCTGCATAAGTGAACAGAAGATCAATTCGGTTATACGTGAACGCAGGAAAGAGACTTTGTCTCTCCTTTATTTGTCCGATCAACAAGCCTACCTGAATTATCCTGTTCCTCGTTCTGCATAATATTGATGATCTCGCCGTTGATCTGGCCGTCCTTATTCGGTATCATCGGATCTGACGGGAACTTGGGCGTGTTGGAAGAGATGGCGCCTACGCTGCTAGCGTCCTTGTTGATTCCTTTGCTAGCCGGACAGTTCCCGTGTATGCCGGTCGCGACGCTTTGAAGAAATCTGTTTACGTCCGTCACTGCCGGTCCAACCAAAGCCCGGCACTTGCCCTCGACCTTGTCCCACGCGCAGTACGGATCTTGCAGACCTACGCATTCGTTGCAGGACAATATCCTGTCGCTGTGGCAGCGATGAAGCCTCAACGCCTGCACCTGACTATCGGATATTACGACCAATCGGCCATCCTCGAGACCGTCACCCGCTTGCGATGCGCGAACGACCTTGATACCGCGAACCGGAACCGTCGGCGGGAACGCCTGTATCTCCTCGATCACAACCGGGCTGACTTTTTGATGAGAATCGGCGGATTCGGCGTTGATAGCTTTGATCACCTTGCCGTTGTCTGTGCCGATGAAGAGAACGTCATAGGTTTTACCGCCCATAGTTTTCACTTGAGGATCCACAGCGATCTGAGTGAATCTGTAACTGAACGAGCGACCAGAATCCTATGACTATTCAACTTCGTTATTCGACTAGCGCAAGCAAAACGACGAACATTTACATGTTACGATTTACCCGCCATGTGTTGTCGCACGAGATAAAACAAGAACACAAAGACGAATATAAAAGCGTCTATCAGCGCCGCGCTGTCAACAACGTAAACCGCGTTCGTGTCAATGTAAAACACGCGACGCGACGGCGCGTGATAAAAGCCGGACGTAGGCAACGCGCTACGTTTGCGTTTGATTTCGGATCGTGGACCGAGAGAGAGAGAGAAATAGATAGAAAAACAGAAAAGAGAGAAAAAGAGAGAAAGACGACCCGGGCAAACCACTTACTGGAAACTGGTGCGTATAACGATCGGCTGGCCGAAAAAGCTCGGCACCGACTCGTCCATCATCGAATGCGTTTTGATGAAGTTGAGCGTCAGATCCGGCAGTGTGCGCGATTCATTGGAGCATTGGCCTGGTCGCGGATCCGGCACCTTCGATTCTGGAACCGGTAGCCAGTTGGAGTACTGGCCGCTCTTCTCTTTGAAACTGCCGGCGAACGTGTCGGCAATGTTCTGCAGCGAGAACGCGCACACAGCCGAGCCGCTTATGCTGTTCACGGGCGTCGTGAACGTTCCGTAGATGAGTTGCGCCGACGTGCCGCCGTATTGGCCCGATATCAGCTCGGTCGTCGATTCTGCGAACGAGATGGTCTTCCATATACTCGGAAAAAATATTTTCGTAGAGTACGAGCGCGCCGGTAGAGACTTGATCAAATATTTTTATGACGTATAAGATAGGTGTAATTTAAAAAAAAAAAAAAAGGTTCTCTCTTGGATTTATTTTTTATTTATTTTTTTTTTTTTTTGCAATATATACGTAACGAAATCTGGGAAAAAAGGAGTGAGGATTTAATCTTCTCGGAGACGGCGAGAGACGGTGGAGCGAGCGACGAACATACCTACGTCCATTTACTTACGTATTTCGTTGAAGTAAAACGGAAAGTCCCCGGTGACGGAACAATTGAGACGGGACTTGAGAAAGGACGTCCACCTGTTACGGAATTGATGCGGTCCGCCCTTATCATATTTACAGACTCGCGCCACGCGAGAGTACACGGCCTGCAAACGCGAAAATTGTTGCAAATTTTATAAAGGGGATAAAGCAGGATAATTGAATTTCTCTCTCTTTCTCTCTCTAAAAAAAAAAAAAAATAAATAAAAGAGGAAAAAACTACAGGTCGCGCGGAAAAAAGACGGGGCAAATGAGGAAATCTAGTTTCAGGATTTTTTTTTTTTTTTTTTTTTACGCGTGGTGTGAGAAGTGACACGCACGTTCCGGGACGGCGTAAAGCGTCGCGTAAGGTCGCACGAAAACTCCTTCTTGCGAAACGCCGAGCGCAACACGGAATATCGCGCTGTAATTTCCGGAGAAAATATAATTCGCAAAGTGTACTCGGGCACGTAAAAGAGGATAATAAAAACGCCGAGCGATTTAGAGAAGAAAATTTATCGCGACCGTAATTAAAATAGAATCGCGAGGTGTATGTACAATACACACTACAGAAAAAGAGAGAGAGAGAGAGAAAGAAAAAAAAAAAGAAAAAGAGAGCAAGAAAGAGAAAAGCGTGCGCATAAACGAATATAAAACCCGTATAAGAAAACGGAACCCGCGATTTCGAAGATCTGCGTGGCAATAATTTATTGCGCACGGTATCTCCGCGCCGAGATTATAAATTTATTCCAACTCGCATAAAATTTCGCCGCGACATTCGCCGCGGGAAGGAACCTCGCGCAAAATCTTTGCTCCCGTAATATCGCGCAAACCCAACTTTTTCCCCGTCCGTAGAATCCGGCCGGATTTATCCTTCGTCCGCCATAAAATTATGCGTCATTATCAAAGAGAGAAAGAAGAGAGAGAGAGAGAGAGAGCTCCGGTGGGTTCCACAGCCTTTGACAGTAAGTCGACCCCGTTTTAAGCTTCATCCACAATGAGCCCTACGCAACTTCCTGCTCTCGCAGCAGGCGCGGCTCGCTCCGCAAAAGGTCTGTCGTATCTGTGTGTGTAACGAGGTAGTGAGAGGAGGAAGTGACGAGCCTCCGAAAGCCGATTTTCAATGCGAAACGACCGGCGAAAGAGAGAAAGAGAAAAACGTAATCGTCTTACTGGACAGTAAAAAATCTCTCCAAAAAAGGGTAACAGACACCGGCGCGGTGTCATGAACTTTCGCGGAAACTTTGTGCGTGTTATCCCGCACGAGAGCTCCCTGACGCGAAAACTTAATCTTATCCGACGCGAAATATATTCTTCGGTCCCCCGATTGTTACCTCCCCCCGCTGCTGGCGCTAATTCAACATACATAGAAATATTGTGATTGGACTTTTACGTGCTCGCGCAGAGACGAGCTTTCATCGTCCGAATTTTCTGCGGTCGTAAAAGTGGCTTTAATGTATACGGCTGGAGAGAGTATTAAATCTCACAATGCAAAAATAATACGACGGAAGTTAACGGCGCAAGTGTAATTCTCTTCAAACATTCATTCGTTCGTTGCATAATTATACGTATATACATATATATATTCTCATTATTCTCTTTTTCGCGTGTCATTTTGTTGTTCCCGAGAAACGAAAAATTGCATCGAAAAATAAACAACGATAAACAATATCGATTTCGCGCTAATTACTTAAGCGCCGAGATCGAAATTCCAAAACATCCCCATAGAGTTCTAAAACTCACCGATTTGTCAAAAAGAACGATTAATCGTCGACAATTCGTCTTACCTTGCCGCAATTGATGAATTCTACAGCAGTCTCTCTGAAGAAGAAGTAGACGAAGTCTCCGTGGGCCATGGAGCTCACGAAGTTCGGTGCTGCAATTAGAATATGGAGCCATTATTACCAACTACCACTACCATTGCCAACACGACGTGCGCACGCGCGCGCTCGACGATAGTATTAATGGCGTCATAAATTCGCTCTTGTAAATAAATGAGCGTAATAACCACCTACTACGAACGCGAATCGATGGCGTAATAAACTAGACAACGCTTTCGTACAGGTACACCGCGAGAATAAAGGTAAAGGAAAATCTCGTCTCGCGCGATTTATTTAAAAACTCTCACGGCGTTCGGCGTTAATGCGCGCGGCGGCGAGCATTAATTTTCTGTATTTTGCGTGTTTTCAAATGGCTCAAAAAGTCACAACGAGAGAGGGAGAGAGAGAGAGAGAGAGAGAGAGAGAGAGAGAGAGAGAGAGAAAGAAAGTTATTTACGTTAACATCAGAGGCTTCCCTTAATTGTGCCCATTAATTTCGAGAATCGCGGTAATTAATTAAATGTAATTACGACGGTTAAGCGCATCAAGACGCTTATGTTGACAAACAACGTGTTATTAATGCTCGAAATATATTACGATAGCGTTCTCTCCCCCCGTTGATGATCCCATTACCGGCAAAATAACGTATTTATGTATGTATGTGGGTGAATGAAAAGCACTAGAGAGAAGAGAGAGAAAGCTTTTACGGACGCGAAAGTTTGAGCGACAAAACGAGAGACGCTTTCTCCTCGTTCGCGCGCTCGGCAATATATCGCATAGCACGCGCATATCCCCGCTTTACACGCGTACCACCTGGTCAACTTCTATCGCCAATAAGCCAGCTAGCTACGCGCGCGCAAAAGACCCTTTTATTTTCTCTCGGTTATTTCAACGCCATCGCGCGCCCGGTAAAACATTCACCGCCGCCGCGTCGCGGTTCTGCTGCTTGCCGTTCCGGTCGGCCGTTCGATAAAGTGGGAAAACTTTATCGATTTATTAACTTGACAGGGTTTTCATAAGCTTCTTAGGATTCATAAAGTAATATTAATCTCGCGTCGTGCCACGTAGGGTAGGTATATATCCGAACGACCCGTCGCTCTCCGCCCCATAAATTCACCTCGTTTTACCCCCAATCCCCACGGAGCACAGAGAGAGCCCGTCCCTTTAGCGTTTCCGCTCTTTCTTTCTCTCCATCTATCTGTCGTTCCGCTACCTCTTCCTTCTTCCCTGCTACCCCTTTTGCTCGCTCGCCCGCTTCTCACGTCGCGCGTTTAACCGCACCTCCTCCGCCGGGACGACAAAGTGCAGCGGGAAAATTCGCGACGATCTTTTCCAAAAAACGGAAACACACTTCCATCCGTTCTTCTTCTTCTTCTTCTTTTCGTTCTCTTCGCTCCGCCGCGACCGATTAGAAAAATGTTCTCCTCCGGATGAACGTCGCACACGGTCGGTTCCTCGCCTCGTCCTTACGTCTCGAGATTTTCCGATTCGCGATTCGCCGTCGGCGGCGGCGGCGGCGGCGAGCGCGATTTTCAAAGCGACGCGCGGGATTTAACAACGCGGCGGGGTAGAGAATTGAATTTTCGACGGACGGAGGGAAAATCAATATTGTCCAACGGATAGAGAAACTTGATTAGCGCTCTCGTACACCGTTCAATTAAAATACCCCGTCGGACTGTGGAAGTCCGTCCTTCTACCCCCCTCATGCCATCTCCGAACAAAGTGACGTATCAATTTTAACGCCGCGAAGACGCGTTACTTTGAAGTCCCCTGCACGCGCGCGCGCGGGTGTGTAACGCGATATAAACGCCGCGGGCGGAAGAGAGAGAGAGAGAGAGAGAGAGAATGTCGGTTTTTAATTTATTAAATTTACAAAGGGATCCGCGCACACACGCCACGCGTATAAAACGGGCGCGCGTGTACGAATGTTAAACGAACAGAGACAGGGCGCAATGTAAACCCGACGAGGCGGGAAATATCGTATCGCGTGTATCAACGTGTGTTTTAAAAAAGCACGATAAAAATCTATTACATTTCCAACGTTAATTAAAATCGTGTTTAAGTTTCGTTAAGTGAAAAAAACTCGTACCTCGCGTATATCGCGTGTTCCTCTCTCAAACGTGCCCGAAAATTAAAAAATCTCGCGCGCACGCGCGCAAATTTCTGGGTCCCCGTGCGATTCCGTTCGACGAAGCAATTTTTTTTTTCTTTTTTTTTTTTCAATTTTTAACACAGCGACGGCACTTTGTCAATTAAAACTCGCATAATTGCGCTCCGTGCCGTGCAATATAGCGCTTCTATTGTGCGCGATATTACGGAGCTCGGTATTACGATGCAACAGGGACGTATTACAAGCTCGAGGGCAAATTTCGAGCCGATGGGCGCAACGTCGTCGTCGTCGTCGTCGTCGTCGTCGTCGTCGTCGTCGACGACGACGCTATATATCGCGCTCACACCGACATTACACCGAGGCCCGGAAGATTCGCGGAATAATCTTGCGGCAAGTACAGGCGGGAGAGCTTAGAGAATCCACGTATACGCACGGTTAATCTCGGAATTACACCGTGTGGATTAGAAGCACCGGAGGCCACACACGTATATATATATCCGGTCGCGTTCGCCGAATTCTCAAAGTCGAATCGGCTGCGCACGCGGCCAAACTTGGAGCGTGTAAATATTGAATCGAACTCTCGCGGTTGAACTTTAATGGACACGGGGATATGCATTATGCGGTAGCTGCCGCGCGATTTTCAAACACTCAGACACGCGTTTACCTCCAACGACGACGACGACGGTTGCGCCTCGCCTTCTTCACCACCACCATCACCGCCATCCTTCTGTTATAAGGGATCACGTTTGACGGGCGGTGTAACGAGGTCGATAATGGCTAATAATTACGTCGTGCCGGGGATATTAATACGATAATTTTCCAGAAGTTGGTAAGCGCGATAAAACGACGTGATTAAAGCTGCGCATGAGAACGATAATGAGATATAATAGCTTCGACCGGGCCGAGCTCGTGCCAGTAGCGACGTTGAAACGTAAAGGTTGAAACGCTTGTCGTCTTATCGCGGAACAGAAGCTTTGTGCGTGTGTGTGTGTGTGTGTGTGTACAATTTTATTCACTCCGCGCACAAGAATGTGTCTTCTTTCTCTCTCTCTCTCTCTGCTTTTGCCTGTGGAATTTCTTTTCCCACCCCCTTCTCCTCTTTCCCTGACCTATTAATTTTTATTTAATATCGGCTAATCATAAGTCACCCATATTCCGAACTTTTCTCATTCGATTCCGAGTAAAACGCGAATCCCGCGGCAACTTTGTTCCCGCGGAACTTTTCCGCAGATACTTTCAGTGAATGCGTCCGTTGTTTTATTGTTAAGAAATGCGAAGTTTTCGCAAAAGCGCCGAGACCATCCTTCTTTCCTCTCTCTACCCGTTCCGCCCCGAGTGCCGATACAGAGGGAAGAAGAGCAAACTTTTCATCGACGTGAACGACGGTGAAGTCGTTCTCTCTTCTCGATGCGACTTCTCGTAATTAGAAAGTAACGATTGAATTAATCGGATTATAAGCCACCACTTATTCGCGTCCGCGCGCATAATTCCATCTAATCGCGAGCTAATCTCGCGGTTCTTTTGAAATAGATTAAAGAGACTATATACATATAATGTATATATATATCTCTTTCTCTGCGCTTGATGCGCTGAAAGAGCAGTAGACAATGAATAAATAACCGGAGAACTACGAAACGCGATCCTCGCGCATGTATTTTATTTGTTATGCAACTTCAAGTAAATTCATTTTTTTTTTTTTTTTTACAAAGTAAGACGCGCGCGACAAAAATTATTAAACAATCTTCTTCTGAGACAACAACATTCTCCTTCGCGTTTAAAACAAACGCGTGGAACTGGTTTAGTCCGCGTTACGCCGCGATGAAAATTAATATTCAGAGAGTTGCGATCATTAACCACCGACTTCAAACCGCACTTGTCGCCGTGTCGAATTAATGGCAAAAGCGCGCGGAGAAAATGAAAATTGATATTCCGCGAGTTGCGCGAGCGCGATCGGAGAATTAACTGCCGACTTTCAATGTAAATCAGCGTGAATCAACGTGATCATTAAGCGTCATCAATCATTCCCCCCTACGGGAGAATCGACGATCGTCGGCGGATTAGAGAGATTTCTATTTGCGCTTACCGTTCAGACTCATCGAGTCGTACTGCTCGGTCTGCAGCGGCTCCCGATAGATGATCGGATCCATACCGGCGAAATCGGTTACCGTGCCGGTGTAGAGCTCACCATCCACGTAGACGAAAGTGCTGTTGTGCTGCGGATCGTACGGGCACTTTGCCTGGCCGCCCTTTTCCTTCACCATCGTGTAGTTGCCCGCGTGCACCGTGTAATCCCGGCACATGGGTTTGAAGGCGTTGGTGGCGCACACGAAGAGAGTGTTCGATCCGGTCTTAACCAGGATGCGTATGTAGTTCTGACAATTTTCTTCGAGCGTGCCCTTCACAACGCACATCTTCACGTCCTTCTCCGTCGAGTACCAGGTCAGCCTCTGCTGCTCCGTCAGATCCGTCAGACTGAGATTGTGGACGAGATTTCTAGAAGAAAAAAAAAACAAAAAAAAAAACAAAAATCGTGCGAATTTTCTTTTCTCATTTGAAAAAAATTCAGTTTAGATTGGAAAGGGAATGGATTCGAAAATATTCGCGCAATAATTTTGTTTACATGGTAAAAAAATTAAAATTATTGTGTACCACCATTGTAAAAGATAATGTGAAAAGTTTGTGCTCGAATTTTATTTTCGATTCGCATTCGAAACGACTTGTCACCGAGAGACAATTTTTCTCGCTGTTCTAACGGAACGTCGTCGTCGTCGTCGGAGGAGAAGCGAGAGACTTTCTTCGCGCGCGCGCGCGCGCGAACACGTGTTGAGTGGGAACGAAAGAATTTCCCTCGAGTTTCAAACTGTCTAAAATAGACGTCGACGTCGAGATTATCCGGAGGTGTGAAAGAGGGAGGCTGAGAAAGCGACGTTTGAAGTTTTGGCATTTTCGATCGTTAACTCCTCCTTCGTCAAGGCAACTTCCATCCGCCGCGTGTGTATACGCAACGGGGAAACACTTTGAAGAGGAATATATAGAATTGCTCTCTCACCGCGCGCGCTCGCAGCGACCGTTTCGCGGTCGACGGATTTTGCCGGGAACCGCGGAATAATCACCGAGACATACCGCGATCATATTCCCGTAATAAGCGCCTGTGGCCTCGTAACGAGCAAGAAACAAAATTCTCGCGTATCACCGACGACGACGGCTGTTGCAGCGACGTCGGCGGGCAAATCGGCTGAGCAATTAGTGTAATCCGATCAATATAACGAACAAGCTCGGGAGATATATATCAGAGTTCATTCACGCACAATGCGTTTAATCCGCGCACGACCTGATTATCGTCGCGCCGGACTGATTTCAATGTTGAAACAGCGCGCATTCAGCAGCGTGCAGGCGGTACGTGAATAGATAATTCGTCACTTGAGGGCTAGAGAGAGAGAGCGAGCGCATTTCTACATATATATATATCCGTTGATTTTCCGCGAAAGATGAAACACTCGACGTAGCCCTCGGGGGCGAGGCTGACGATGCGCGCGAGGAATTAAAGGGAGGAAAAAAAAAAAGAAGAAAGCGCGCTAATCGATCGACTCTGATTGCACTCTCTAATGACGAATCCAGAAAAGCCCGCACACAGTTTTTATACAACCGCGCGATTTGCAATTTTCTTTACATTTGTGTTTGCCGAACTTTGAACACAACAATTGAAGACGTCGATTTTCTCGCGATCGGCGCGATATTGCGATATTTATATTGGAGAATTATATGAAACACAAAATTTCACACATCAAAATTTATTATCGCGAAGAATAACTTTGTTGATAGTTGCGGCGGGCTATGAAAATTCGGGGGGGGGGGGGGGGGGGGGGG